AGTTTGTTTGGAATTCAGATGCACTCTTATTGATTGTGCTTGGCTGTACGTGTACATATCCTTGAAGATGCATCATGGGGGTGTTGCAACCTAGAAGACACAAATTTGACTATCAAGTTATAAGTACATGAGTCCAAAAATTATGGAAAAGCTTTCTTCTCTTGATCTACATTCTGGCTTGTTCGTTCATGTTTACAATTATATAATAATCAATTTATAATAACTGATGTACCCCGATTAACCAGTATGCTTTCTATGTATCTGCAATGCTTCTACAAATCTGTTAAATGCACTTTTGTTTACTTTTCTTTATCTTTAATATAGTGTCCATTGAGAAATAATTCTCTGTAGAGCTGTATAGATAAATCAGCCTGTGTTTGTCTGGTTTGGTATCTCCAGTCTAATTCCCTAAAGAGACTGCTCTTCATCTACCCTTTGAGTAATGTCTCTTTATTTCTTCTTCTTCTGGACCATTCACATCAATTAATTGGCCTCTCACACAGACCAAGCTGCACCCAGACTTCTAACATGGTTGGCTTTGGATTGGGGCACTTGATCCAACTTCCCAGGGAATCTGCAAGAGGCTAAAAATGCTTAATCAGGGGAGCTCATGTGCAGAGTTCTTCTCACTGAACACCTCAGAGAGGGTGGCAGCTTTGAAATTGGACTTTGTCTCATTCCTTAGAGCTCCTGGTAAAAGCACTCAGGCCAGGAATCCCCCCCGAATTTCCAGAGATGCTTTGGCAGGTTCTTGGGAAGTGGAGGGTCTGGTTGAGTGAGGCAGAATGGAGTAATGCATGTCTGTAGGGACTGGCAGTAGTAGAAAGCCTTGGCACATCCTTAGAGCCCAACTCATGGGGTGTTGGCTTTACACAAGATCAGGAGGAAAACAGGACAGAATCTTGGCTCACTGGCAAATGACCCAGTTAGCAAAACTAGTAGTTTTGCTTTAGGAGAGGGTGGGGGAAGTTTATTTTTGTCTTGGAACACAGAAACCAAATCAAATACTTGACAATCCCTTGGTGCAAATCCTAGTGAATTTTTTACCACGGGCATTGGTTGCTAATCTGATAGCATTGCAATGAAGTTACCAAGAACCCACAAATAAAGCAGTTAAAACAAGGTCAAGGAGGCAAGGGATGGTGCTCAAATTCAGGCAGACTGAAAAGATAAAGGTTCCCTTGTCTGAAAAATTGGAAGAAGACAGGACCCAAGGTGATGTAATTTGGTTGACGATATTGAGCATCATCTAGATGCCATGTATATACAGTGTTTACCAAGACAAACACAACCCCTCTGCCTTCCTGAGGTATATTCTGTCATCAAACCAATGAAAATTAAAGCTAACAAATGCTGCATAATGCCACTGTTATAAAACAAGACTTACATCGAGGTTGGGGCAGGGGAAACTAAGAAAAGAGGGGATAAATAATGTATACTTGCGTTGAAACAGATGAGAGAGAGAACTGCTTAAAAGGAATATATGATTAGGTATTATTTGCATGACAACAGTCCAGAATAAGAGCTGCATAGTAAAAGGGGGGGGGAGGAAATTGTATAACAATGAAAGATTTATTTATTTTTTTTTTTCAAAGAGAAAAGTGAACTGGGTGGAGAGAGGTGGGCAGGGAGAAAAATGTACAATGAACGAATGGAAATCCATGTTCTCTATAAACTTTCATTAAAATTTCAATTAAAAAAAGAAAGAAAAAACAAAACAAAAAAAAGCCAATAGAAAAAGAAAATCAAAACTAAAACAAACAGAACCAATCACTGCCCATCAAATAAATTGTGGTTCAGAGTAGAAAGGTCCACAGGAATTTGCTTTTCTTTACTTGAGGGAAAGTACAAAGCATAGAGGGGTTTTCATTCAATAATTTGTGTGCATTTTATTTAACACTGTAATTAAAATTTCCTTCTTTCATTCATACACGTAACATTAATTACAGTGTTATTGTTGCTAGGTGCTGTGGAGTCTACTGCTTATAGTGATCCTGTGGACAACAGATCTGAACCTTGCTTTATCTATTTGCCATTCTCACGATCTCTGCCATACTTCAATCCCACTGACACAGTCACTGTGTTAGTCCATCTCTTTAAAGGTCTTCTTCTCTCCCCAGTACTGACCTTCTGCTTTTCCCAGTACAATGACTTCTGCCTCCCCGCCCCAAGACCTGGCCCTGACTTGACAACATGCCTAAAGTCACCTGAAAGCTCCACTGCCCTTGCGATTAAGGAGCCCCCTGGTTGCATTTTTTTTAAGGATATTTGGAAAAAAGTGTTAAAATTTACCCTGGTTGCATTTTGTCCAAGACAGATTTGTTCGTTTGCCAGTCCATGCTATATGCAATATTCTTGACTAACATCACAAATTCAAAAGCATTGATTGTACTTCAGTTTCATTATTCAATGTCCAACTTTCAGACACATATGAAGCACTTGAAAATCACTGGGTCAAGTGCACCTTAGTCTTTAAACTAATATTTTGAGCACTGTAAAGAAGTCCTTGACAGCAAATTTTCCCAATACAATATGCCTTTTGATTTCTTGATAGCTGCTGCTTGATTGTAGATCCAAGAAAAATGAAACCTTTGACAATGTCAATCATTTCTCCATCTAGTGTGGATTTGAAACTCCAGAGATCTAGCTTCCAATCTCTGTGCAGCTCTTAACAGATTTCACCACTAACATTTCCTTAACTTTTTTCTTTTATCTTAATGATTTTTTAAATGCAAGATGTTTGTTTTTTACAGCATATTCTTTCCGTTTAATCCCCCCCCCACTCATTCATTGTTGCACATTTTCCTCCCTGCCCACCCTTCCCGCCAGTTCATTTTTCTCTTTGAAAATAAAATAAAATTCTTTCATTGTTATACACCCTCCCAAGCCCACAGTCCACTTTATTAGGCATTTCTTTTTCTGTAATCTTGTCATAAAAATAATACCTAATTCTATATTCCTTTTAAACAGTTCTCTTCCTCATCTGTTTTAATGCAGTATATGTTATTTATCCCCTCTTCTTAGATTCCCTCCAACCTCGATGCAGTCCTGTTTTACA